CCCCCCCCCCCCCCCCCCCCGGGATGGGGTTTATTCAAGTCGTACAACAAAAATAATCATTTGTCCTCCGGTCCCTCTAGTTGTCCGTCCTACTGCAACAGGTTTCTACTGAAAAATGAGTCAGCCTCTCGCATCGTCGCTGATTTACGTGGGAAAATAATGTTTCTTGTGATGTAATTACCTCCAGTCCGCATTTGGGAGCACTTCAAAACCAAAATATTAGTTTTGTACACCGAGGATGGGTCTTCGGCAAACGGGATTTGTACGATGTCTGCCGGGTCTGAAGCAAAGGCAACCAGTGGAAACCGTAAATACTACACAATGGCCACCCGAACCGCACCCGCAGATCCTGCTTTTTGTCCTCTCACCCCCTCCACTAAAGAGAACGAGACCCCACCACTGCAGCATGAAGCAATAATAAAAGCCTTATCGCAGTAGAGGCTTCAACTGTTACCCGACGGCCAAAAAACCTGAAACCTCGGGGCGAGCTCCGTCCGTTCACGACTCGCCTAAAACCAAAACGCGGAGCGATCATCACCTCTTTCGGAGTTTAGTTCTGTTAATGATCAATCGTGGGCAAAGGCTAAAAGCATTGTTCTCTGCCAGGTGCAATTTTGTTGGACATGACTGGTTTCCGTTTCACGAAGGAGTCACACCGGTCCCGCTGTTTTGCCAGAGGTAGACGCGGTACCACCACCACCAAGATCACTCGCAACAAATAACCTCTTAACAACAGAAACATTATCCTAATGGAAACCAGCGTCAGTTTAGACACACACGCACAAAGAAACTCTACGAAAACATCAAAACCCTCTCCGTGGACTAATGTTTGGGTTAGAGAAACCTCTTCCAACAACACCTGATGTATAATAAACACAGCAACTGCACATCTTCGAATTTACTTATTATTTTCAATTACACGAAGAGCAGGCCCACTTAAGAAATAAATATACATCCGTATCCTGCGATCACTCTGGGATGCTTCTGTTCAACCAAGGTCGAAATCCAAAATAGAAAACGTGGTTAAATCCCAGAGCCTTTGACAACTACGTGGGCGACTGGTCAGCACTCCTTCATATTCGGGAGGTCCCGGGTTCGAATTCGACCCGGAAACCGACTACCCTGACCGAGGTCTTCAGCGGTATTCCTCTGTCCCTGCAAGAAAATGATGGAGCAGTAACCTGAAGTACGCCACAGTTATTAATCATCCCACCATTTGAAGTTACAAAGTCTAGATTTCTAGATTAATAATAGCGTCGTTAAAAAGAATCACAAATAAATGACATGAAACAGGTACCGTCGTTGAATAATGTTTAGAAGAAGCGCTCTTATTGTTACGACGCTGAACACGAGATGAAGTCTTTATAATTTAAAGCTCTCCACGCATACTAGCGGTAACACTGTTCAATGCCCTTGAACTACCATCTTGCGAGATTATTTCAGGTCACCTCGGCGTACTCTTCATTATTACATAAAACGAAAGTATTATGTGAAAGGGAGAGGAAGGCAAATGCAAATACAAACAGCAGTCGCATTTTCGCTTTCGATTGGCCGAATTACAGCGGGTGCGGCCATGAATTTAGGTGAAGGGCCTACTGCCACGGCTGGCTCGACACTGACCGTGATATTCGTGGGTCGTGCATTGCGTATCATTGTTATATCAGCACACAAACTTCACCGCTACAGCTGAAAACACTCCGAGTACAAAAAATATAGCAGAGTACATACGTTTCCTTTGTGTTGGGGCTGGTCGATCTTTTATTACCTGGACTTGCTGACTCAAGAAAAACCTCAAACTTACCTGTCTGAGCTTTCGGAACTGTCGTATCTGTCCGCACACCGCTTCTTCCTGCAATTATCTCCATTATTTGTACAAAATTCCGAGCTAGCACCACAAAGCATAGCAGAAGCGCGCACACCCAGTCCCACCACGCCATCGATTCGAAAACTCGAGCACAACTCTCCACTGTCACCGTGAATATAAAACGATGATTTTAATGTATTGGAATTTAAACAATCTTTACGTGAAATACTGAGCAAATCCACAGTCTGCTTCGCCACAGAATCCTTAACACTATTAGCCGTCCCTTCCGCACACACACCGTCTGCCATCTTGTTTGGTACGCACAGCAACACTGATGTGACGTCGATCTGACGTCACACTCCCCTTCCCCTGTTGTGGTTCACTCTCACTGTTCATTGGCCGGTGATCAATTACATAATTTACTCGCCGGAGTAATAACTTCATACCGTGAAGATATTAAATATGAATGTTTGACCCAATGACCTCAAATCAAAATAAAAATATTTAAAACCTTCCTTTTTTGTAACATGTTGCTAATATTCTCTTAGTACTCGAAGGGTTGTAAACCACCCCAACACTCCTGTGTCTTCGATTACTGACGTCGCAAGGACAAAGGCTCCACGAAGTCATTCATTGACTACTTTTTCTAGTAACCGCATAACAATTTGGAATACACCTCTGAGACAGTGGCACCTCAGATCTCACCGATTATTTCTGTATCTAGTTAGCTTACGAAGACTATGCATTCTGACGATAATGCACCTACCCAACCACAGCACTGAGAGCTGTAACCTACTGGCAGTTTTTTTAAAGTCGAAATGACACTTAACTTGCGAAAGAAAGATCAGAACTACCTTCACTCTGTCATTTATCCAAATATTTAAAGCCTGATTTGAGAGGCCACTCGGAAGATTTCATACAGGAGGCTCAGTATCAGGTTTAAAGATGGGCTTCTGTGGACATATTAATGAGTTTCTGGATTCCAAAACGGAAGGGAGTATTGATAGCCAAGTATCAACTGTACCATACATTTAGTCCTTCATTTGGAAGTGAACCTGACCTCCAGAAGCATTCCATTGTGTTGTAAAGTAATTATTTTATCATCCACAAACTATAAAAATTACATAACTTGCAAAGACTACATGTTTTGACAAATCAGAGCGTCATCGTGGTTCATATTTCTGTATGCACACCTTTACCTCAGTCCAACTTTGTCATTTCATTAAGGGTAACAGAATGCACCTTATTACAGTAGTTTCTGTTACCTTGCATAACTTGATAATGTTTCACACACATTCCACAGAATACTCTCACTGACCATCACACTATGAAATAAGACTGGTGACTGCCCTGAAAACATAC